CTGAACAATATAGAAATAATTCACCAGGGGATTTGTGACTCCAATGGAATAAATCTGAACTGTTTTAAATAGTCAAAGAAGCAATGAAGCAAAATACTTGTGAGCTGATTTTATTGTGGATGGCTGTTGTCAATCATTGCTTCTTTTAGCTTAACCATTGACCCACTGAAGTACTTCAAAGAGTATTCTGACAGCCATGTATTTGGAGAAGGAGTAAATAGAAATTGTATAGCTTTTTCTTTTTATCTGTAAATTTTTTTTCAGTAGAGCTGCTAAAGAAAACCAGTTTAATAAAAGATTGATTTTGGCAACTACACAGCAGTATTAAAGAAGGTATATTTTTAAAGAAGAAATTTGGGGAGCTGCTTCATTCACTTTCTGGATCTTTTCCTCCCTCCCTCTCTCACATTTTAAACTTGCTTTCATTCCTCTTCTCTTCTTATTCTCCCCCCCTTTTTTAACCAACACCTCGATTTTAGCAGTTATTTTTGTGTATCATTTTCTTATTTCCTGCATTTAGGATCTTTGAAATACCACATGTCTTAGAGTTTAGTTTATAGATAAAAATAAGACCTGACTCACGTAACTTTCAAACTTAAAAGAGACCAAGAAGGGCTTAGAAAAAAGTAGGAAGCCACATAAGCAATAAGAAATTTAAGAAAATTTCTTTTTTTCCCTATTCTTTGTTTTCCACAGTTATATATGTTTGGAAAGGAATTCTGAGTGTATTTCTTGAAAGCTTACAATTTTGGCAAAGGTTAAGAAGGAGGTGCTCATTGTTTTCGGGTGAAAGGGTGATATATGTTAAACATGGCTAGAGTCACCAGTGCAAGTAGAATTTTGGAAACCCTGGTGACTTTTTTGAAGCTATTTACAGGCTATTGCTGCTTGGTGTGTGATTCAGAAAATATTTTGAGTATTAATGAGATTATTTCACAAAGTTTTTTGATTTTGTTGGCTGAAAGGTACCTTACAAATTGTTATTTTACTATTGAAGATTCAATTTAGATATACATTTTGTTTCTCTTCTCACAATTATGTAGATTTTCTCAATAAGGTAGCTTTCCAAGAGTAGTGAAAATTACTATAAATCATCAAAAATTTCCAAAGCAGCCTGGCACATAGTAGGTGTGTTCAATCAATGTTCCATTCAATTTCTTTCCAAAGTCTTTGCTAGGCTGAGTTTGAAATCTTCTTTCGTTATGGCTTTGGAATCGTTTTCAAAATTTGCTTGATCTTCTATGTTACCTAAAGTATGTGGTATGATCTGAATGTTTGTGCCCCCCCTCCATATGTCGAAATAGTAACCCCCAGTTAGGAGGGGGTTAATAATTAGGAGGTGGAGTCTTTGGGAAGTAGGGTTTTTGATCATGGAGATAGAGTCTTCCTAAAAGGGATTCGTTCCCTTGTAAAAGAGGTCCCAGAGAGATTCTTGCCCCTTCCACTATGTGAAGACACACCCAGAAGCCAGCAGCCTGCAATTGGAAATAGGGTCCTTACCATGCCTACACTCTGATCTCAGAACTCCAGCCTCTAGAACTTTTGAAAAATAAGTTTCTATTGTTTATAAGTCACCCAATCTGTGGCAATATGTTATAGCAACCCTCTCTAATAGACTACTACAGTACTTGGTTTAAAATGTACATTTTCTACCGGTTCTCCCAGGAAATTCTGATCCAGGAGGTTTGAAGTGAGGCCTGGGAAACACTTTTAACAAGGCCCTTAAGTGATAATTAAAATCAGCAACACTGCTTTAGAACAGTGATTCGCAACTCTGACTACTTGGGCAGTTCAAGAAAAAATCCTGGTCCCTGGATTCTACCTTGAACCAGTGTTATTAGAACCTCTGGTGGCAGGGTCCAGACATCAGTACTTTCTAAAAAAAGAATCCTCAAGTGGGTTTAGTGTACATTTAGGATGGACAATCACTGCTCTCAATGCTCTGGAGAATAATAAAACAGCTTCTGAAAAAGTCCTGTGGGATAATACATTTTTACCTCTAGTGTTTCCCTAAGAAAAAAGATATTTAATTTGAGTAACTAACTATTAAAATCAGAACATTTTAGTATGAGACAGATATGTAGAGTCCATTCTAGTACCACATATTCAAAATGTCTGTGATGGAATAAATGATTCTCTAGATTTTTTCAAGAACTTTACCAATATTCTATTTGGGCTCTTAATCATGTATAATTTACTCTAGTAACCTCTTAGCAACAGACTGTGATATGCAGATAGGATTCAAATTATCAGGTGAAGTAAGTAGAGAAACATGGAAGCAAGATTTGAGGTTAATTGTGGTAGAATTTAAAATTATGGACATAAACAGACTTAATTATCCACCTTCTTTTTGCTTTCAGAAGAGAATCTGCATAGATGTATTTACCTAGATAATCTCCAATGTCGTTATTCTTAATTGTCTACCTTAGACTTTGGAATATGTTGAAAGGGTAGGTTCTGTTCTGGATAATGGCACAAGGCTGTTGGCAGATTATTATGCCTCTTGATTTCAGGGAGTTCAGCTTTATTTTTTTCAATGAGGTGCATAGTTGAGGAAGATCCAATACCAGATGGTAATGTTGGCTGGGAGTGGTTTTCTCACCTACATTTGGCAGCTTTACTCGGAAGTGGTGCTTTTAGTGCCTGAGACTTTCAGTCTATGCTACTTAACATGATCATTGGGAAACTTTAGGTGGTATAGATGCAATGACATATCTCATTAAAGGTCCTGTAACTATGAACATCTGACATCTGTGCTGAAAATGGGACTGAATGCAGCCTTCAAATGGTATGTTGTTTTTTAAAGGCACTGCTGAAGTCCGTTATACTTATCAGGCTTATAATTTTTATAAGGCATTTTTTACTTGGAGAAATAGATTATGAGTCAATCAAATGATCTCCTCTTAAAATGGATTCCCCCTTTCCCAACATTTAGACAATGGTTTTAGCTGGTAACCTATTCATCACTTAGCAATAATAATAATAACTACCATAATTTGAATACCTACAATATGCTAGGATACTTTGTGTATAAGCAATATAGTAACCCTCCAATGTAGTCTCATTTTGTAGATGAGGAACCTGGAGCTCTGAAAGGTTAAGGAACTTGCCAAAGACCATAAAACTCTTAAGTGACAGAACCAAGATTCTGCCAGCTGTCTGGATGCCCAGTGGGGTCTCTGTCCATCTTGCCACCAACCCTTGCAGTGTGTACAGGAATAGAATCAGCATTCATTTCTATAAACTGCAATAAGTTAAGTGAATGTTTTTAAAAGTTGGCCTGTAGTTTCATATTTAAAATAAAAATAAAAGCTAAAACAACCAAATCCAGCCTTCAAGGAGATTGCCATCCAGATAGTTTTAAAGACTAACACCCACCCTGATTCTTTGTATACATTTCGATATGCTTTAACTTTAGATTTTTAAACCACTGCATGGTTGTTTTTTTATTAGAGATTTTAATAAAATTAGAAAAATATTTTTTAGAAATCTATATGTGTTCATTCTAATTTGAGAAGTCTGGCATCTCACAGCTGCAGAAATTCATTTTCACCCCATTCTTTATCCCCCTTCCCAAAGCCCTAAAGCACAAACCTATTGGGAGTCCCGTCTGTTTCCCAAAGGAAATATTTCATTCATATAATGTCTCCTTTGTAATCAACACTGAGAAATGTCACTTTGATTAAACACAACTCTGAATGACTAAGACCACAGTACAATAAATTCTCCAGAGCTATCTTTCAGAACAACTGATTGCTCTCCAGTCTTAATCCTCCAGAGTCTTATTTAATCAAAATGATGTTGCTAATTAAGGATTAAAACCTCCGAATAGAATAAAAAAGAAGGATTTTTCTTTTTCCTTTGGGCAGGTCAAGGAGGCAGAATTTGCTGTAAGGAAGTAAAGAGTCCCTTCCATCTTTGGTAACATTGCATTGTTCTCTGACATTAGGACTTAATCCAAAATAGGGCTGAGTGCTTTGTAATATTAATATAATTGGAGAAAGAAAAAAAGAAAGAAAGAAAAGAAAAAGGAAAAAAGGGAGGGAGGGAGAGAAAAAGAAAAGAAGAACCACTTAGGATAACTAAATATTCCTAGGCAATATTTATGATAAAATTAGACAACGTATCTCACATCTAACATCCGCTGATGAATAACACCACAGAAATTTTTTACTAAATGCTGAACTGCACTCTTTGAAAATCTAAAGATTACTCTTTTCCTTGAATTTATATTTAGTAATATAAGTTGGTTCCTTAAACAACAAACTAATAAACTGTGTAAGAACTCACTAGAAGAGACAATGATTCACAGAAAAGCAGTTTGATTTTTATGGAATATAAACTCTTTTAGATGTTGGAGGTGAACTGGATGAGAAACAGGGATACTAGTCTACGTTTTAATAAATTGTAAAGTATTTTTCATCTTTTCCATCTTATTTCTGCATTGGTCTGTAAATGTCCCTGCCAAATTAGTCTATTACAATATAGACATAACTAATAATAACAGTTACTTGTTTTGGATCACCTACTATGTGCCAAGTTCTTTGCCAGCAATATACATATCATTACCTCTAATAAAACCCAAGGAGAGGTCTTATTATCCCCCTTTGGAAATGAATAAACGGAAGTAGAGAATAAATGACTCAGTCAAGATCAGTCAGCTTGTGCTAAGGGGAGTTGAGTCTTCCACCCAGGCCTGTTTGATTCCGAAGCCACATCTATTCAACATGACAAGCCACTTCACATCTTTTTACTTGGAGAATAAATTTACCAACATGTCTAGGGAAGGTGCTGGTAAACTATCTTAGTCTTTATCTGATTTATAAGCTCCCGTGACCACTGACTGAATCACCATCTCAGATGTCGTCACATCAACACTTCCTCACTTAACCAGCTCTGTTATTGACAAAGACTGAATAACTACTACCTGAAAGGGATCGGAAAGCAAACAATGAGAAATATCATTATCCTTTTTTTCCCTCCTAATCGGTGCTACATACCAGTTAAAAAAAGACATTCCTTTCTCTGTTCCATACTCCTGAAGGCTGAAAGCTCCCAGTGGACAAACAATGGCTTTTATTCCTCCCATGCCAAGGCAGATGGTCAAGAGCGCTACGTAAAACAGCCAATGTTGTTCCTTTTTCAGAATGTTGTTAATCACATAGAAGTGGCCCAGATAGACATCATCCGATGGAAAAGCAACCACAGATAACAAAGCAGTACCTATAGGTGGGGAAAAAAGAATAAATATAGCATAGAACAACTGATTCACCAAATCGTATAATCAGTAAAATTTTTTCTCTGATAGCAGCATCATGTGACGATCTTATTGAAATATTTATGTTACTCATTACAATTTTGGGAGCAACTTGATTTTTCTTTCTTTTTTTTATTTTTCTTTTTTGTTATTGTTGTTGAGACAGGGTCTTACTCACCTAGGCTGGAGTGCAGTGGCACAATCATGGCTCACCACAGCCTGGAACTCCTAGACTCATGTGATCCTTCAAATTTTCTTATCCTTTATCCCCTATTTTTTAATGTCTTTGAGAATTTTCTCAATTTTATCTTCCAATCACTCTCACTCTCTTGCTTTCTAATTTCTGCCATCATGCTTTTGATTTCTTTCTTTCCTTTTACTTTTTGAGTCAGGGTCTCACTCTGTCACCCAGGTTAGAGTGCAGTGGCACAACTCACCGCAGCTGTGAACTCCTGGGCTCAAGCAGTCTTCCTACCTCAGCTTCCCAAGTAGCTGGGACACAGGTGCATGCCACCACATCCGGCAAATTTTAATTTTTTTTTTATATTGACAAGGTCTTGCTATGTTGTTCTTAGGCTGGTCTTGACTCCTGACCTCAAGGAAATCATGAACTTACTTAAACTATCTTTCTTGAAGGATGTATAAGCAAATCATTTCCATTTCAACAAAGTTAAAACAATTCAGAAATGCATTATGTAAAAAGTCCAGCTGTTTGTATTCCTACCCACAGAGAAAACCACTGTTAACAAAGATTTATTCTTAATCAATAGTGATAGGAAGTACGTTGATATAAGAAGGCTGTTAAGTAAAAAATTTTAAGAACATTATTATGTTAGAGGAGAATGTAGACTCTTTTCCTACTTGCTTTCTCCTTTTTATGCCTTTTTCTCTTATTTCTCATGCAACTGAATGGAGCCTTCTTTGCCACACACAGAGGTGAGAAGGCTGGGGAGGGAGGAAGGAGTGTGAGCTAGTGATGCCATAGAAATTGAAAGGGCAGAGGATGTAAAATGACAAAGAAGGGTTGATTATTTTTCTCACTTCCACCTCGCAGGGACCACACTTGATAACTTTCCTTGTCTAATAAAAATTATGATATAATTCTATGCTTTTGCTAAGTACGCTATATTTTGCAAAACATTTTCACATTCTGTATTGTTTCATCTTGGAAAAACTTTGTGATATCAATGGATAGATTTTCTTATTTCAGTTTTTCAAAAAAAAAAGTAAGACAGACAGAAACAGGTTCAGTGAGGTTAAGTGACTTGCCTGGTGTTACAGAGTAACCCAGATGTAATCTTCCTTTTCTTGGACTTCCTTCTGTCAAGTTGTCAAATAATCAATTTTTTTTGAAATAACATTTTTCCCCATCAGGTTATGAAAGCAATACATTCTTACCTCAGAAAATTTGAAAAATATAGGAAAGCACCCAGAATAATACAAAAGTCTCATAATCTCATAACCCAGTGATAATCTTTGCCATATATTTTATGTTTATGAATACAATTTACCTAAATTGAATCTACATTATTGATTCTTTTTAACATAACCAAATAACTGGAACTATTTTTGATATTTTTATGCTTTTCAACAAAATTTCTTTTTTTTTTTTGAGTCAGAGTCTCGTTCTGTCACTCAGGTTGGTGTGCAGTGCCATGTTTATGGCCACTGCAACCTCAACCTGCTGGGCTCAGGTAATCCTTCTGCCTTATCCTTTCAAGTAGCTGGACCCTATAGTCATGTACCACCATGCCCAGCTAATTTTTTTGATTTATTGTAGAGATGAGGTCTCTCCATGTTTCTCAGGCTGGTCTCGAACCCCTGAGCTCAGGCAATTCTCTCGCCTTGGCCTCCCAAAGTGCTGGGATTACAAGCGTGAGTCACTGCTCCTGGTAGTTCAATATGATATCTAATGATGTGGGATACTGACCATAATTTGTTTTCAAATTGTGAAAGAATATTGCAAAAATACCTTGACATATAATTTTTTGTGTACATTTTTGATTATTTCCTTAGCTCCTGTTCTTAACCAAAGGCATTCATATTTTTATGCTTTCCAATGCCACTGACAAATGTTCTTTAGCAATATAACAACTTAATTTCCTACCATCATTGTATGATATGGCCTTCATCAATATTAGTTACCATCATATTTTTTTTTGTCTTGCTGATTTGATTAGTGAAAATTGGCTCCTTCATATTAGTTTTTTTCTTTATTCTTTTGACATTAAAATTTTTGGTATGAAGTTTTTGAAAAGTTGCTTCATATGTTTAGTGTTCTCAGTAAGACTATCAGTTCCTTATCGATAAAAATTGGGCCTAATGTTTCCATCTCCCCACAGAGGCTTTCACAATGTGAAGAATATATGCATTCAACAGTTTTTTGGCAGCAGATTCACTTGCCGTGAGGTAGGCCCTTTAATCATTAGGTTTGAATTCCCCCCCCCCAAGGTTAGCCAGATATAGATCTAACTATTCTTTCTCTACAACTCAGTCCTCTCCCCTGGAAGTGTGATGGGAGGCCTGGCTAAGCTAAAGATTATCCGGAGAAGATGGGCAGGGAAATTGTTTTACATAGTGATCTTTAACCTTAGTAAGGAAAAGCCACTTTTATATGGTACCTTTATGTAAGTTAGAAATGTACTTTATCTCCATCTTTTGAGAAAATGTCATAATATGCTGATTTTTAAAAAAACTTTATTTCCATCTGCTGTAACTTGATGTAATAAAATACAAATCTATGACATATATAATAAAAGTCTCCTCTTTGATGTGTGCTTCTGTATTTTACAAAATCAGCACACCTGTATTTGGTGGCTCTGTATAAGCACCATGATGTATCATATCAAGTTCTTATATACTGAATTAAGAAATTTAGATTTTATGTTTTAAATAGTAGTGCATATGTGCGTGCTTGTGTATGTGTATTTTTCAGGAAGTCATGGTTGTTGGTAAAATGGTCTATGAACTGGAGACTGATTTATAAGCACATCATAATAGTGAAGAAAAAGAAAGCTACATTTTTGAGTGAATGTAGCTGTTCAGACAAAAGAGATATTTTTGATAGTACCTCTGATATTCAGTGACTGGCTAGAATTTGATGGCGGCTGTTAGTGGGAGATACAAGAAAATAATCTTTAATGAGGAAATGAATGGCTATGTCGTTGACTTAGGTTTTTGTTTGCTAAATTTCAAAGTTGCGATTTCTGTCTTGGTCTGATGACTTTCCCTGGAATTTATAATGATAGGAATTACCTTGTTAAACAAGAAGTTACCAAATGTTATTGTTGTGGCCTTTTACCAAGGTAAGCAGAGTAAATTAGTCAGGTGTTTGCTTAAATGTCTTCTTATCAGAAAGCATTCCCTGATACCAAGTAGCAACTCCATCACTGTCTATTCCATCCTGTCCCTTCACCCAGCTTTATTTTTCAACCTAACACTTATTGCCACCTGACATCATATCTATTAACTTGTTTATTTTCTCTCTCTCTGCACCAGAAAGTCAGCTTCATCAGCATCTACTTTCTTCTCTGTTGCATTCTGAGACTCTGTAACAATGCCTGGGATAAGGCAGTCAATAAGAAATATTTGTTGAATGTTCAATGATTATTTGCTGTGGAGCAACTTAGTTTTTAATTAACAGACCTCCAGCATCTAAGTTTACAGGTTTGAATCACACGCTAATGGATTATCTGAATGACAATTTACCACCTGCCTGAAATTGTGTGATATATCTGAACTCTATCCATCCCTTCCTCTTTCACCCCCCACCAACATGCATTTCCACTACACTTCTCATTGTTGGTAAACAGCATGCTACCCTTCTAAGTTCCTCAACTCAGAAACTCGGAGTTAACTTATGTTTCCTCATCGTATTTGTACCTTTATTTAGTTGCCACCTGTTCTCTCCTGAATTGGCACTTCCCTATAGCTTAGACCATCATCCTGAGATTTCCTGGTCACTATGGTTGTCCAATCTGTTAATTGAACAAAAGCTTTTCTTAATTGTTATTTTCATAATATCTTCAGCCTTCTTGTTGTCTAAGAAGAAGTCAAACTTTTTAGCCTAAAATTCTAGACTATTTATCAACTTGGCCACTATTCCTTACCAAACTATCTTGATATTTCCAGTTCTTGCAGTTACTTAATATATATGTATATATTTACTTTTTCTTTCTAAAGAAGCAGAGCAGTGTTTGCATTTACTCATTTTTAAAGTTTATAACCATAGTTATCACATAAAAGTCATGTTTTTGTATGCAATCTTAATTACCATATGACTAATTTAAAGACCACCTTTTGATAAAAACATTTTTCAATTATTCTATATGAACTTCAAAAAACTTTTTAGCACATTTCATCTTATTGTGAAGCAAATAACTTTCATGTTTCACAGGAAATTTGTCACAAATTTGGACTTGGGGTTAAAAAGGGGAAATGAGGGCATTCTAAAACATACAGAAACTAGACATGTAAAACATAATTATTGTAGAATATAATAAGTGCAATGGTATAGGTATCAAAGCATTCTCTAACACACAAACACTTACTAGAATTCCTCAACTAATACAGATAATGAAATAACTTGAAACAACATTCTTACTTCATTTATCACATTTTATGCTACGAGCAGGGTGAGAATAATATAAACTAAAAATTCTAACAAAAATCTATTCAATTAAGTTGCAAAACAATCCAGTCAGTAGAGGGCACTCACCAAGAAAATGTAGAAATAAGCAAATATATACCAGTTTGTTTCTTCTCAAATAGACATCAGCAAGCCATCCAGCAAACACAGGGGTAAGTATTGAAGTTCCAATAAAACACAAGTTCAAAATGGCTGCCTGGTCATTGCGATAGTCAAGCTTGACAGTGCAAAAGGGGATCATGTTGCAGACGACTTCAAAGAAAGTGAATCTCTCACACAAATCCACCAGAAGCAGATAGATTCCAACTTGAATGTTTTTCACAGAGTATGGTGAAGAGAAATAATCAATATGTCTTATAGTTTTTTCTTTCTCAATGCTGTGATTTAAGTGTACTTTTTCATCGGTTATTGTAAAGTCTGTAACAGACATGACTATCCTCCTTGAATACAACTTATGTTAGTGGTTTGAACTTGGTGATTTTCGCCCCCACCTCTCTGATGAAAAAAATAAGTAAGATCATTGCTTTGAATTTCACATCTCCTTGCTACAATTTCATAAGGTTTTTTACACATTAATGTTGTTCATTTGGATGATCCAGAAACACAGGAAGGAAGGAGACCTGAGTATTTAAACACTCATAGTAGTTCAGTATAGCCAAATCTGATTTGTTTGTTTAATTACTTAGAGACTAAATTAGGTTCTTCCTCCAAAATTATATTGAATTACATGAATTCAGTTGCATATGTGTGGAGACTCATCTGCCTCATACTGATAAAGGTTTAAATACTGAGGCAGGAGACACAGTTTTTCAGGAGAATTTGAGCACTAGATCAAGAAATAATTTGAGTCTAATAATTTCTGATACTTTAATTAAACAAGCCAGAACAGTACCAAGAGATAAAGCGTAAAAGGAAATCTGTTTTGAGGGGGCAGGATACCTTATCATTATTACATTTCTTGTTATTTTTGGTTGGAATTCTGATAAGAAAGTTAATTAGGTAACAAAAATGCTAGTACATTTAGGTAACAAGCAGAGTTTACAAGAAAGTAATTTAAGTGCACTAATGAAAGGAGAAAATATTAAACAAAACCCTGCTTCCTTTAAGTTGACCTCATGCTTGTAGAACAGCCTCTCAGAGGAAATCAGAATCAAAAGGTGCTATTTGACTCCCTTATTATTAATCAGTAGCCAGGGATACAGCAACCAGCCTACACATGCTTTGGGGAATATTAGATCTGGTATCACCCTGACCCTCTAGCTGGTGGACAGATGTTAGCATTCTATTTTGAAAAGCAGGAGGGCCAATTAAGCTTAAAAAGAAGCAACGAAAGAGAACACCTTAACATTTAGTGGTGTAGCTGCAAGGACACAGGAAGACAAGGGACTGGAACTATCGGGTCAAAGTCATAAGAGTTCTACACATGAGTAAAGGAAGGTTATTTTCATACTGGTGTCAAAACCAAAAGACTGATAAGAACTTCTGACTCTGATCCTATCTTTTTGTCCTGAGAAACTGGATACAAAACACTTTGTTTCCACCCCTTCTAATAGTTTCATGTAGTGGTAGCTATTTGTGTCTGCTCAGCATTGCATATTGCCTCTTTGGTAACAATGCCCTGTTTTTCCTTTGTGTAGAATGACTATGCAATTTATTATTCAAATTTGAACGCTTTTGTGAATAAAGAGTAGCGTTATTTAAAGTTATTTCTCAAAACAAACAAAAAACAAATAAAAACAAAACAAAAAACAGGTATAAACTGGGACTGTCCTGGACACACTCTAGTATATAGTCACTCTACCTTTAGGGAATAACTCATTTATTGCCAGAGATAATGGTGAGGCTGTTAATCAGGATATACCTTTTCTTCTGTCCGAGAGTGTCAATGCATGGGCCTAAGATAATCCTTTCACTTTTTTCTTCTGAAAAAAATTTTGTTTTTATTTTTAGTTGGAGTCTCACTCTGTCACCCAGACTGGAGTCTCACTCTGTCACCCAGACTGGAGTGCAGTGGCTCCTGGCCACCGCAGCCTCGCCTGCTGGGCTCTGGCGATCGTTCTGCCTCAGCCTTCCCAGTAGCCGGAATTACAGGCATGAGCTACCACACCCGGTTGATTTTTTGATTTATGGTAGAGATGAGGTCTTGCTGCCCAGGCGGGTCTCGAATCCGCGGGCTCAGGCAATCCACTCACCTCAGCCTCCCAAAGGCGCGGGATTACAGGCTGAGCCACCGAGCCCGGCTTGAAATTTTAATTATGAGTAGAGTGACTCAAGAATGGACATGGTGAAGGCTGAGTTATTCAGATGGCAGAACCCCAGAGGCACTGCCCATTAGACACTGATGTAGAAATCGGTACATCCCTGGTTCTAATCCTTTAGGAGGCGTAATTAGTTTTTCCTTCTGTAAAAGGTCTCAAATCATTCCAACCATTTTTTTGTTAGTCACATTTGGCTTCTGTTGCTTACAAAGAACCCTAAATACTTTACTTTTTTGTTTGCTGCAAGGAAAATTTGTTCCCTAGCTACTGGTTGATCTATTCAGCCCCTGACAAAGTGCTCCTACAATGTCATTTCCCAAGTTGGGTGGTGCTGCCCCTACCCAGGGTCTGATGATAATCATGTGTGAATTTTTTGGCTCCTCTCTGTATTCTTGTTCCAAGCATGTCACAGGTGATGAAAACCTGTGATTTGAGGATAGTTGAGTCAGTAAGAGCAGCAGCATTTGCCTTTTTGAAGGGGATATTCGGTAAACCTCGAAGAGAGTAATCTACTCAGAAAGAGTTTATTTTGGCTATCTGTAGGAGGAGAAGTCTGACTTTAATATTGTAATAAGAACAAGATAATTAGCCAAAGGACATTTACTGAAATAAAAGTCAGTAGAACTGAGGTATATTCCTGCCCCTGTATCATTTAAGGCAAATTCCTTTTTGTCTATAAACCCATACCTAACTGCAAAATACAAAGAGTAAAGCCTACCTCAGAAGATCATTTCTGGTTTTAAAAAAAATGACTGATAAAATGTCAAGGTTTGTATGTGGAAATGCCTTTGTTATTACTTGTCCCTCTATTCCTGCCTTTTTAAAAGCTACTTTAAGCAATGAAGCATACAGCAATGTCATGAGACCATTTCCAAATTCCAGTTTGCACAAAAGTCAGATGTTAGGAGGGCTAGTTATGCAGAACAGAGTCAAAGCAATGGGAAAACATCTTCTTTGTATTTGACACTTGCCTACTAGTTATGAATAACAAGTTCAGAATGAACTCAAAGGACAAGTAGCAATTCCCCTTGAGAATAATACTTGGCAGGGAATATTGAATGTCATCACTTTTACCAACAAACTTGAGCCCTAGAGTGGGGATTTGCATATACGTTAGTTTTCTGCAACCCATTCCCCACCGCAAGCCAGGATTGTTCTCTGTTCCCTGCCTCCCTTCTCTGTACCAAATTGATATTTTCCCCCATTATAGAAGCAGTATACACAATGTATGTAAATGGATACAATTTAGAAAATACATCAAAATAGAAGAAAAACCAATGAAAATTTCTGGACCATTCCTTTGGATGTTTCTACCCCCCATGACTATTTTTTATTAGTAGGTTTTAAATATTTAAATTGTATAATTATAGACAATTATTGTAGAATATATTTTCTATCCCATTTATAGGTACTGTTATAAGCATTTTAGCATTGCATTATAAACTCTTTGTAAACTTTTTTTATGGTTGTGTTAATAGATGCATAGTTTCCTTAAATTTTCTTCATTATTGATTAGTTGTATTTGTCTCAGATCAGTTACAAGCCACTCTTTCTCTAACTTTTGATCATGAACCTACAGTTAAAAGAAAAACTGTTTTTATAAATAATGTTGGAATAAATATCTGTGTACAACTTTTCCCACATTCTCAGATTATATCCTTAGGCTGTTTTTTCAGAAGCAATATTACTGGCTCAAAGTGTAAGAAAGTTTTTAGACTTCTTGATTGATAACATCAAATTACAATAGCAACTTTAAAAATTTTTTTAAATTGGAAAGCCTATATTGTTTTTGGAATGCAAAGATTATACCTATCACTATAATTTTTCATTGCAAAGACAGAGTCACAAGTATACATATTAAGTAAATGACTATATTTGTATGTGTTGGAAATTTATCTTAATAGAGAAAACTTATCAGAGGCTCATTTGATGAATTAATGATCAACCATATTTTTCACTCAGCGTCCAAAGCATGCCTGCATCAGATTTTGGAAAGGTTGTTTCGGGAACACACCGGAAATATAAGCCCTGCTTTTAAGGAAGTTATTTTTAAATAGGCAGGATTTAAAAAATCTTTATAAGCTATCTCCAAGAAAATTATGAATTTTAAGAAAACCATAGGACTTTCTAAAATGTTTTTAGAGTGTGTTACCACACCGCTTTTCCATTTTGATATGCATTTTCAGAATAACTTTTCATAGGACTTCTAAACACTACGTATTTTTAAGGAAAGAACTTTTCTAGTTCAGTAATTTTCTGTAAATGGTATACACAAAGGTCAGTTAAAGATATTTATTCTTTTAGATCTATCGATTCCATTTAACTCCATTGACTATGAGGTTTGATAGCGGGTTTGAAAGCATTGTCAAGAACATGTCGATTAGCCTCAGTATAATTTATTTATTTAAAATGGTACATCAGAGACTGGAGTGAAATTTTTGCTCATTGTTCAAGGTGTAAACTGGAAATGAAAAGATAACATATTAGGCTTTACTTTTTGTTTTCTGAAAAAGACATTCTCTGTGTAAACCTCTACTCTGCCAATATAAAGAAGCTCTGGCAAGAGTATGATATCTATACCTTGATCCTTCTACACAGTATGAAAAGAATCAATTCAGCCTCTAGTAGATAATAGCTAATACACTCCCAAGAACATAGAAAATACTTAATTCTTCTCCAATAGAGTGTGTTTTCTCTTTTTGGGAGGATAACTAAGAATGAAGGCTATTGTACTGCTATGGGGTTTTTCTTCCATATCATGCAATGATCATTATGAACCTTGCTGTAATGTTGAATCTACATAGAAGGAATATCTGTACAAAGTTAGTAAGGTGGGAATGAGTTATCATGTGGACACAATGGAGGTTAATTTTATGTGTCAACTTGGCTGGGCAATGGAACCCACATCTTTGGTTAAATATTATTCTGGATGTTTATGTGAGAATGATGAAATTTACATTTAAATCAGTGGACTTTGAGTAAAGCAGATCACACCTCATTCAATCAACTGAAGGCCTGAATAGAACGAAAAGCTGACCACCTTTGAGCAGGAGTGAATTCTCTAGCAGACTATAAACTTCATCCTCAACATAGGCTCTCCAGCAGACTGACTTCAGATTCAAACAGTCACACTTTCTTGAGTCTCCAGCTTGCCAGCTTCCCCTATTAGATA